TTTTCTATATATGTAGACACGGAGGCAGCATGAGGGAGCTGTGATGAATGAGGCTAAATGAGACAGCTGGCGCTCATGGCGAGGGTTGTCCATTCTTTTTTTATCCATAGATTCTCAGTACCTTGACTTATACATTCATTTTCAAATGTTTTAAAAGGCCGTTTTTCTTTAGTCTTACTGTCATTATTATGGCTATTGACTTTGTTTATTTTAGAAAATAAAAGTCTGAGTTTATTTTTGACAGCTAGCTTCATGCAAAAGAAATCAATAAGCTATTGTCATATATTTGTGAAGGTTTTTTTCAATCTACTTTTCTTGAACATTTTGTGAATAGGTACATACTGAACACCTTAAATTTATACTCCTTTAGCTAGAATACACAAGATTAAAGGGATTTTATGTGACAGATTAGCAAAATAGGGCATAGTTGTAAAGAATATAGTCTTTATTTTTTTTCTAAAATCAAAAAAACTGTTGTGTGTATTCTCATCAAGCCTCCTATCCATAAAAACTTTTTTGGTCCCCTACAGGTAGATGCCAAAAGACCCCTACAGGAACCAACTTCCAGATGAGGAAGTACTTTCCTAGCCTGCAGTTTAGTTCTTTGGCTATGCTCAAGCCCCTGTCATACCTTAACGATTTATCCAGCATATGCCTAACATCCCAGAATCTTCTACAATGCTCCCATCTGCTGAACTTTCTATGTATTTTTTCAGAGTCCAGAACTAATGTCCAATGACAGCCTAACTTATGCATAACACACAGCAATGTAATGCTCTTGATATTTCCCAAGCCAGTGTCCTGAGGGGGCAGCAATGCACCCGATGGTGCCCGGACTGCATAAAAAAATGTATTTGATTGCGGTATTAACTTGGCTGCTGTTTAGCCCCCACAAAAAAAAAAAAGAAAGAAAGAAAGAGATTAAATAATAAAAAGGAAAAAAGAAAGAGGATTTGAGGTGGCAGCAGATTCAGCGTCATGTCTGCTAAGAAGTTTGTTGGTAATGGCCGTGAGTGTGAACACAGGGAGGATCCATCACACTCACCTTCTTGCTTAAGCTACTGTATGATGGGAAGTCTGGAGGAGAACTGAAGGTTTCCTCCGGTAAACCCCCTTTTACACCAAAACGCTGTCAGTACACCATTATACAGTAGCTGTAAGTTAGAAACGCGTTCAGCTGTCGTCTGGAACACGTCAGATACGTTAATATGCACTGGAGATAAGTTCTTGATAAGTTACGCATAAGTTATGCACAAGGTACTCATAGGTTTTGGATAAGCTGGACACCACGACTTATAAGTAACTTAAACATAACGTATGTCAACGATCAGATAACTTACCTGTGACTTATGCCCCACGTATGAGCAACGCTGGCATACGTCGGGAAATTTTGAGCATGCTCAAAATCTTTCGACGTACTCCCGTATGTCGACTTGTGCCACTGTGTTTCAGCGTGCTCATAACTTATACAAAATGTACCCATAACTTATCCAACATATGCCAGTGTTTTTGCCAGATTTTTCATACATCAAGCACGGGCTGACTATATCGTCAAGGTCTGACAGGGGCTTCAGGGTTAATGCTAAAATCTGTTATTGCAATGAAATTTTGAAAACCGAGCAGTTTATATTGTTTAATCTCATAAAAAACCTGTAGATATATAGATGTTTTTAGGGCCCTGTAATCCATGCCGGTTTTGTTGTTTGTAATTATTTTCTTTGAAATGCATAATGCCTCTAACCACATGCCCTAGTTAGAACAGTTCCAACTTGATAGCTGAAGGGTTTTAAGACCAACAGCATCTCCTAGGGCAGACAGCAGTGTATCTATGCTTGTCTTGTTTTGATGTTTTTACAAACTAGAACATGATGTAAAGGCAGAAAAGCAGCTGTCTTTAACTCAGTAATGGATTTTCAGTAAAAAAGATGAAAAGCATAATATAAGCTCAATATATGATCTGTCCGTCAATTAAATTGAACTTATCATTTTCCAGTAAAGCTCGAAAGGATGTAACAATAGTGTTTGCATAATTTATTTCACATATATTTATGAAGCAGAAGCACTGTTCTGTTTATGCTTAAATTCAAGCATAAAAAAACAAAAGAAAATGTTTGTACTGTATGATTATCTTCTGCTCGGGTTGTTCTGGGGGAGAATGAATCCCAGTAGGACTCCTACCTGCTGTCCTTACCTTTTTTGTGTTTTCATGTCCTGTCCTGCCATGTTCGTCTTACCCTTGGCTGCCCAGGCCCATCTACAACAGTCACACAGAGACCTGTCAACCAGATATCCTGAACTACAGAGGGCGCTGTCTGCCTGCCCTGTCAGTCTCTGTGTGCCTCTGTCCCCTCCTCAGCCCAGCTTTTGGCTATGTTAAACCTCTTCTCTTCTTCCTTCCTTTTTCTCTCGCGGCACCAGGCGCGGCTTCCCTCCTGTTCATCCACCCTAAGCATTGCTGAGGTACTCCTGCATGCGTTGGGATGCAGCGTAACCGTGGCATCAGTCATTGCGCCTCCATTTTTCTACAGCATCCTTGAATTCCTGCTTTGCATGCCTGCCCTCTGTTCTCCTGTCATCTTTTGGTGTGTGTTTGTTTGGTCCTGCCTGCTGTTTCGAAGTGTTTTATTTTCTTTTCAGCAATCCCTGTGTTTGTGTGCATTTTTTGTTGTCACCTTGTTGTTGCCTTCTAAGTTTTGATTTTTGTCTTGGAACAAACTGTCTGTCTTCTAGTGAAAATTCTGTCTCTAACTGATGCCTTGTCTCCATTCTCTCCAAACCAACCAAATGACTCCTTTAGATCATCACGTTTGCTTTAACTGGTCTTTCAATCTCTGAATGGAAGTTGAAAGATGCTTGCCTTGTGTTTTTGAATGAAAGTTATATTGCTCGCACAGTGTGCATTTCTCTTTCTCTGTTCCACATACAGTACTTTACACACTACAGCTCTGATGTTTGCTGGTTACCTTGGTTATAGTGCAATAGGTCTAAACTGATGCTGTTTATAATAAAGTCCTTAGCTCAGTTTAAAGTAGTAGAATAGGAAGGGCATGTTTTTAATCTAAATCTCTAGTTCATTAAATAAATGTCAATGAGAAATTTGCAATTTAATCCTGTATAAAGATAAATTTGATATTCTTTTTCCACCACATGTGTATTCACCCATCTTCTTTACATGCATTCCATTAAGAGTTTTGGTTGAAAGATTTCATGTAAATTAGATGGAAAACATTTAGGTCATTAGGGTATTTGGGTATTTAGTGTTTTAGTGTTTGAAATTTAAGCTTCTTGGATCATTCTGGATATTTAACCAATCTATCCACCAGGGCAATTTTAAAAGCTTAATGTTGGCCTGCTTTATTATCGATGATGGCTGCTAAAAGCATGAGATTTATCTGCAACTTGCTAAGATATAATTTAGAGATTATGGGATATTTTAGATCTTCTAAGTGCAATTTTAAGTCAGTATGGGTATGGAAATTATACTCTAAAATAAGACCTGTGTACCTATTCCTTGCTTTTAGATATAGCTGAAGTTGTATGTTTTACCCGAAATCCACCCTGTATAGGGTGAACCTCAGAATTGTGACCAAAGCAATATTTTTTACAAATTACACAGCCACCTAATGTGCACTATCATTCAAGCACCAAGCAAAAAAATCTGACTTAGGAGGCCTTGAAAATGTAATAAAATCATGCATTTTTAACAAATCACAATAAATTGTTCCTCGCAATTTAGTTATGTACTCTCCTCTGTAAATTCTAAGCTGTGGGAAAGAAACAAAACATAATACCTGTCAAACAGGAACACAACAGAATCCCGTAGACATGCATAAATAATATATATTCTTGCTTGCCTCTGGTGTGGTTACCCTGATATACATGTATTAACATCAAAAACATATTTTTAAAAATAAATGTATTCATTCAGGTTATTTTAAGCTGTTCATTTTAATGGAGTTTACAAGAGAAAGAAGTTCAACTGACACCCAGTTAGATAAAATCTAGTTCTGTAAAACCTTTTATTCAACTGAATCCAAGAAACTTACAACATAGACCAGTCATACAGTCAGTATATAATATAAATATAGATTAAAAAAGGATTGATTTCAGCTAGGTAGATTAGACAGAACTAAGCAAGACTAGAACTTAATAGTATATTGTAGTGTAGTGTAGTGTAGTGTAATGTAGGACAGAAAAATTCTTTAGTGTCCCTCTATGAGAAATGTCGTATTAGAAGACAGACCATTGAAAGAAGGTGCATTTATACAAAGGCAAAAATCGGAAAAAAGGAAACTGTAAAGTATGGGAAAATTTACGGCATCACAAAAAAGTGCTTTATTACTTAAATAAAAGAACCTGTGCAGCTAAATGGGATATTTTAATTAAGTATACAACATGTGTATTTATGGTTGGCATAATAAACAACAATTGTCATGTTAATTTATTCTGTAACATATTCCAACTGCCAAGCCTTAAAAAAATCAAGGCAACCATGAGGTTTCCTGTCTGCTATTGTTAACCTAAGACATCAGGGAAGCTAGTATATCTTAATGACTGTATTTCTGCAAAAAAGAGGTCTTTGGTAGGATTATTTTAATGACTGCTGCCTATTTTATCCCACACTCTTTAAGACATGTGATCATACTTGCAGATCTTTGCTAGAGCTGCTTTGAAATCCAATGAATTGCTGCAGGTCTACATTAATCTTTGAGTCCGATTGGTTTTTTGGTGGTTACTGTGAGATGTATGACAGTTTATTTTGCTTTAACTTTTCTTCGGTCTGGCTGAAGAATTTATGTGGTGGCTATTCTGTCTGTTGTTTTAGTCTATAAGCAAAATGTCCAGACTGTGGGTGGAAATGTTTGGATTTCTTTAAATGCATCATTGACTTGTATCTTCTGTCCGAGTGGGTATGCATGCCTTTTCTAGTATGGCGGTGTGTGTGTGGTATGAAGATGAGTGACTATCCTGTGGCTTCCCCCAGGCCTCACGGAGAGAATTCAGGGCTCACCTGGATGAGGTCATCACGCTCAAGTCAAGGTACTCTACCTTGGACCAGGTAAACCCGCTAACCTTCTAGCAACGTGGTTTTTACTGGCATGCAGACCATTGGCTTCCCACAGCGAACCTACCACCTAACACAAGTAACATGCATTGCCAATCACACAGGCAGAGAGGCAGTAGCTAATGGAAAATCGCTTTTTAATCCCATTGGCCTGCAGTTCAGTTTGGCATGTTTCAATCGTTTTCTATTCGCATGCAAAGAAAATCACCAAATATCTGTAAAATAAGTCTACGGTGACTTGCAAAAGTATACATACCCCAATCATTTTGGTATGTTGCAACCACAAATGTTAGTATTTTTAATGGGATTTTTATGTGTTGGATCTAAACACTAAACAGCAATTTTTAAGTCTTGCCAAAGATTCTTAATTGGATTTAGAAGGAGGCTTTGAATAAGGCCATTCTAATGCGTGTAGATTTACCTTAACAATTCCTTTGTAGCTCTGCTTGTATGTTTAGCATCAGCACTGTAATGGAAAATGGATCTACACCAAGTCTTTTATAATTCTTGAACTACTTTTCCAGTTGTTTCTTGAAAGATCATCTGTATCTTTAATATACTAACCTTAACAGGGATGGTTTATATTTCCTAATTAGGTGAAAATTAAGTGTCACTGAATTTTATTTAGGACTAACAAAGGGTGCTAAATACAAATGTACTCCACATTTTTCAGATTTAAAAATAAAAAACAGTTAAAACTACAGGTCAGTTTGCTTACCCTTCACAATTATGCATTTTGTGATGATTGATTATAAATGTAATAAATATTTGATGTAATCAGATATAATCTAAATTCAATCCTTTTTAAATTGTGGTTGTAACAAGGCAAAATGTGCACAGACGATATAATTAGCAAATATTTGTATATATATATAAGTGTACTTATTGCAAATCATGTGAAATTAAATTTGATCATATTTGGATCACTGGATTGTTTTATAATGTAATTGTTTGGCACGTTTTCAATCATTGTCAGGTTCAAATACCAAGATTGGTTATAAAAATTTAGACATCCGAAACTTGCTCTCATATTAACTCAATTGAGAAGACTAGCAATTCAATAAGAAATGACTAGATAGTGTGGTCATACACATGGCAACATCTAAGTTGGATATTACTTAATAGCAAAGTTGACATGTGTGCCACCACCTTTTAAGGATAAAAACCTTCCTATGAATCATTGCCTCTTTCTGCAGATCTGCATCAGCATTCATTCTTTTTCATCCATCTTCCGTCTTGTTAGGTGTAAATATTGCTTGATGCTGTTTTTTTTTTTTTTTCTCAGCTGGGAGTACGTTTGTGTTTAATATACAAGATATTCATTGCTTTAGAAACAATAATTCACCATAAGATTTTTTAGTTTTCACTTTATTGTCACACTTAAATATTTGTTTCCTTAAACTTATTTAGTTATTATTTAAATGGAACCAAATGGAACCTCTTACAGTACAACCACATGATTTATGTATCACTTATATAAAAACTATATGAGAAAATAAATTAGCCAATAGAGGTTCTAAAACACCACAACCCTACTTTGAGAAAAATCAAGATCATTTAAGCAACAAAGTCTACAACATCATTCGAAAGGTATCATCAAAATAGTCACAAAGCCGTTTCTAAAACTTTAGGAACAACACTGAGAGTAATAATTCACATATGGGGAACATGTAAGGCAGCAATAACTTTTCCCAGGAGTAGCTGATCTACCAGAATTACTCCAAAAGTGCATTGACAGCTCATCCATAAAATTTTAAGCACTATTTACAGACTGAGAAGTGAAATATTTTTTAAAGTGTGGATCTTGTTACATCTAACCTATATCTAACACAGATTTTTTTAAAACACATCATCCATGCATTCAAATAAAAGAGCTTTACTGTTCTCCATTTTGTTTGCGACATATAGGTTTTGTAATAAAACAAATGATTAATAGAGTTAAAAAGATTTGGTGACAAAACAGATCATGAAGTGTTATGCAGGAGCCACAGAGGAGACCTCTGTCTGCGATGTGGACACTTCAGAATCATCCTCTACTACTCTGCCAAACAGCTTCATGATGCATCTGCGAAACTGTCGGTTCATGAAGACATAGATAATGGGGTTGTAGATGGTGGCACTCTTTGCAAAGTATGAAGGCAAGGCAGCAAGCAAAGGATGAAAGGCATATCCGGGGTTGGCTGCAGCAAAGCAGGCAAAAAAGGCGTAAGGTCCCCAGCAGATACAAAAAGCCAAGATCATGACAACAACCATCCTGGAGACTTCCTTCTGAGCATTCTGGGTTGACTCACATTCCTTCTGCTGCCTAGCAATATCACGGATGGTCAACCACACAGCAAGGTAGCACAAGACTATGACAGCCAGAGGAATAATGCAGCAGGTAATCATCAGGACAATCATGTAGGACTTGACTCCAGGGTCTTTACTACCGCTGAAAACATCAGGTCCACAGGAGGTTTTCAGTCCATAAGGCCAAAACCTGCTCCATCCAAAGAGGGGAGGGGCACACCACACCACGGACCAGACCCAGGAGAATACAATTCCGCCTGCGGCCCAGTTAGCATCAAACTTGACATTTCCAAAAGGTTTGCATACAACAACCCATCGCTCCCAAGAGATGATAGTCAGGGACCAAAGTGCAGTAATACCACAAACTGAGACAACGTAACCTTCAAAGACACACATTGGATGTCCCAAAATGAAATAGCCAAAAAACTGGTTGCACACACTGACGGTACTGGCAAAAACCGTCTCACCAAGATCAGCAACGGCAAGGTTGACTAAGATCCAGTTGAGAGGATGACGGAGTTTCTTGAACTTTGCTGTAGCTACTAAAACCAGGCCATTGGTAAAGACAGATGAAACAACCACAAACAACATCCAGACTGTTGAGACATTGTAAACCCATCGAGGAGCGACATGGTAGTTTGGTCCCTCAAAAGGATCTGAAAGCATAGGTTAATGTGTTAGTTTCATCAACTGTAACGATACTTCCTTATTCAGAAATACAGTATGACTTAAAATACATACCTTTGGTATGATTACTGTTTGTGTATGTGAAAGCGGAGTCCCTTGTAGTATCTTCATTGTGTCTTTTGGCAGCAAACACCTGTTTTCTCCATCCTTCTCCCATCTTGATCTTAGAAAGAGATTCTCAGCTCTCGGACTTTCCTCTCACATGTAACTCTATGGGTTTGCTGAGCGCTTAACCTTTACTTCTGTTTATATAGCCACGCTTCACTGAAGTCTGATGGGATTACTTTAAAACCAACTAAAGGAGATCATCTCCCTATCCGGAGCCGAACCCTGGCAGACGACCATAACGGCTTTTCCTGCAGATTTTGAAAGCAGCCATACACACTCTTTCCAACTCTTCCACCTCTCACTCCAACACAAAAGCTCTTCCTGCACCAGCAACCCTACTCTTCTCAGAAACCCTTCCTGGAGTAACCAGAAAATCAGATAAGCTCAACGATTTTTTTAAAAGGACATTCATACTTGTTGTGCTGAAATCTGGTCTTTAAATCTTTTGTTCAACTCATTTAATTGAACAGAATCAATTTTCTTTTTTTTTTTATCCCTTAGGAAAAGAGAACACAACAGATCTGCCATGGATCTCACATAGACCTGTTGACAGATAGATGTGCTACATTATGGTGATTTACATGGAAACACTTGAAAGATACTCATTATAAATGAGTTATTTAAACCCCTTAAAGTTCAATATGCAAATAGCATTGGGGAAAAATTTAGCTTTTCCCTCTCTAGGTCTTGCAATCTAGGAAATGGAGCTTGTGGCCAGATGGTGAGTTCTGAAAAGCTGGAAACAAAGGATGAGTTCGATCATTTCAAAATTGCCATCCAGTGGAGCCAGATTGCTGTTCGTACACAATGCCCAGGTGGCGAGCATGAAGATCAGTAATCTTGGAAAATAGGTTTACAGTATGATGAAGGCAGTTTCTATTCTGTAGATGACACAGTGACATCAACAGCATATGGAGAAGGAGAAAACCAACTCAAAATAGTATATAATATTCTGAACAATCTCCACTGGAGAATTCCATTGTTTACAGCAACAAGATGCCTTCTACTGCTGGAAAATGAGATCACCATCTCCTTGGTTTTGCTGACGTCCAACTCTAAGCTGGAAGCAACTGATGGCTTACCAACTAAAGGACAAAATATCCCCTCCTGATGGACCCCTGCAGTTGGCCAAATGAATGAACACGTTGGACATTGGCATAGTCAACTGAGAATACACTTCACCCTACATGATCCTGAATATGTAGGGACGTAGGCTAAATAGCTTCAGCTCATCCCTCAACACTGTCGGCTCAGACATTCTCATCAGAAGCTTTCACCACCTTCTAACTGCTTATGGGGTTAAGACGCAGTGGATTTTGGCACCCTTACTTCATTGGAAGATTAGCTCCAAGACCTTTAACTGACATATTCAAATCTATTACAAGTCTTCATGTTTTGATATGGCTGTTAGAATATTGTAATATTGTGTTCAAAAAGTATAGCTCCACAATTGGGGTATATTATCTTCCCGACACTTGTTTGTTATGGTCCAATCAAAGTCTGTGTTGGGAGACAACCTTAAAGTGACAAGTAGGTTTAGAGGTTATTTACTTTCAACATAGGGCCCAATTGGATGGGATAGATTTGGTTCCCCTTCCTAGCTTAGATCAAAAATATTTTTTCTTTGATGGATGTTGACATTACTTAAATTATCTGAAGGTTTAAGTGTGACAGATAAAGTGCAAAGATAAGAAATCTGTGTTTGGGAAACAGCTTATTAAGTGCATTGTAAGATCTGGTAAATTAACAGAGAAGTGATGTGGAAGGTACGAAGTATTACTTCTACATGTATTCTCATTTCTCCTTTCTCGTACGCAAGAGCCTTTTTGCAGTGACATTGCGTCATTTTGCCCCTCTCTATCCTTATCTAATTCAATGGCCCTATTTTGTAATTTGCCCTCACATTGATACTAAGGGGCAGAGGCAACTAAAGCCAACTAAAACAATCGTTCCTCTTTGTCTTCACAGTGAATATAAAAACATGATATGCTTAGTTTCTCTCACAGCTTCTCTGTTTTGTGCTGATCTCAGCACCACTGCAGTTGCATCCCATCATTTCACTAAGAGCCTCCATCGCCAGCTGATTATTGAGCATATTGACACCCCCACCCCTGGCTGTACTGTAGCTCACTAGCACCTGGGCTTTGTGTCTTGTGAGCATGGCTGCGCCCGCTGCTCTGTGTCTGTGATTATTGTCGCCAAGTTCTCCCTGCCACATGGATCTTCCTGACACATCTCTATTTTTAGCGCATTGCCCTGAGTTATTTCAGTTCAATTCAAAAATAACAGCATATGAATATATGAAAGGTCAGGAATGAGGGTAAAGGATTAGCATATAAAGGGTTGAGTTTGTGTGACTCTGTTCTTCAGGTGCACAAACAAACAAATACATGTGGAGAACTTTTTTTTTTAGCCTCCTAAAAAATATTTTGCTGATATGAATTTGAGTATTTTCCATCATTTTCCAGCATCCTTCATACTCATACTTCAACATCCTCATATGGTGGTCTCTCACTAACAAAGGGGGAATTTCAGCTATAAATAGATTAGACATAATTATAAAAATGTTTGACAGGCCTTCAACTATCAAAATATTCTGCATTCCTCGTATTCTCCTCACTTCCCCACACATCTATTCGTATCTCTCACATGCACTCATTTCCATTTTCAAACTGTCTCTGTCCATGGCTCACTGATGCTACTTTTTCCATTGAAATGGTTTTGTTCATTTGCTGTTGTTTTTTTCCCCATACTAAGCTCGTAATTTTGAAGTTTGCTATGAAGATTATAGTTATATTCTGCAAGACACATGTATGTCCATTAGTTTATGGTTTATGTGATCCTGGATCGGAAATTGTCCAAAATTGTTCTGATGTGTTCAAAGAGACAGGGTAGGGAGATTCTTATGCGATTGATAATTTTAATCAGTATTTTCATCAGTATTTTCGTAAGACTCTCTGTGTTCACTGCTTTTAGATTGTTGTATTCTGTTTGTACATGGAAATGTCTGCAAGTGAAATTTGTGTCTAGCTGTAGTTGTTTTTAGCAGCCTTAACTCTTAATTCTTGATTTCAATTGGGGGGGGGGGTCTGTTGTCTTTCTATTATTTCATTTAATAACAACTAGGCAGTTGTGGCTAAAATCTAACTGCCCAAAACAATGTTAGTTCAATTAAAAAAGTTGCTTTAAACAAAGAAAATTACTTTTATTAAAGAAAACATTTTCAATCAAAGGAAAGCAGTGTTCAAATGTATTTTTTTGTGTCTCAACTATATTTTTGCATTCAAATACTTTTTTTCTTTAATGTAAAAGTTTTCTTTTTCATTGAAGTGAAGCTGTTTCTAATAAAAAATATATATTTTTGATTGAAGCAACCTTTTTTTAATTGAATAATAATGACACATATCTACCCTCATGAAAATATCCCAAGGGTTTTAAGCCTAAAAAGAACTTAAAATGTAATCATCAAACTCTGTTTGAATAATGAAAAAAGAGACATTTTATAGTAATCTTAAATTGGTGTAATTAAATTTTACTAAAGGATAATAATGTTTTTCATTCAGTTGTGTAATCTCACAGTATTTTTAGTTTCCATGATAAAAGATTTTGCAATTGGCACAAGCACAAGATAGAAAGGCTAGCTGTTAGTTGGCGCATAAATAAGTTTTATGTTGCATTATTTACATGTCTAGTCAGTAAGGAATAGGTTTCTCCATGTGTAAAGCGCAGTGTAAGCACTTTTAGGAAAAAATGCCTATATAAAGGGTGAATTTGAAGTTGATCTTGGTTTCTGATTTTAAAAGTAGAATCTGACATTATAGAAATGCATTTTATTCAAGTTCACAGTGTTTCTGATTAGTAATATGATTTTAAAGCACAGTTTTTGTAGAATAGGCTTGACTATGTGTTATAACTGTGTGTGGGGGAGGGGTAATTAAGGCAGGAACTGTTAGCATCCCTGGGACATAAATATAAATCAAAGAAGCTGCTTTCTTATAGCATTTCTTTAAAATAGGAAAGATAATATAAAACATGTTTAAACCAAACATGTCCTGACAAGTAAGAGAACAGGCATCAGGAATATAGCAAATTTGCTAAAATACCGTAAGCTGAAGAGTTGTACATTTCAGTATTCTGATAATAACATGAGGGCGAAAGTCTATGTTTCCTGCACAAACCATGATGAAAATAGTAAATAACGATAAAAAAAATCTCCACAGATCATTTTTTATATATATAACTGCAGAACTTGCTATATTTATTAGTCAGAAAAGATTATTCATATTTTTACCAGGGATGCCAGTAATATACAAAATCTCTATGTAAGTCTGCTTGTTAGAAAGGTTTCATTTGCTTTTTAATCGCACAATCAGATCATAGAACAAAAAAGAAACTGGTATCTGAAGCACTGATATTTTATCCAGTCGGACTTCATGTAAATTTGATGGTATCTGCCATTTTTGCCTGAACAATACTCGGATTCATAAAAGAAAAAAAAGTGAGTACAATACGTGTCCATATACGATGCTGAAAGTAATAAACATTAAAGATTAGTGGGTCTCGCTTTTTCATTCACTATGTGTTAAAAATGCATCCTTCAATTTTCAATTGTATCCAAAATACTGGATACAAAGTCTGGAAATGTTCAGAGTCATTTGGGAGATATCTCTGTTATGTTTCTAAAATAGAGATTGATAAAAAAAAAGAAAACAAGAGAACATTTGCATACTATTTACAAATAACTAAGCAGTAACATTAAATATAGGTTATCACAGTGAGAGTTCATGTGACCCATTATTTTCATCACAATATTTGAAACTCAAGGTGAATGTGTGGCCATTCCCTGTGATGAAAATTGCTGCCTAGTACACTGCCGTGTCTTCTGAGCAAATTTTGCATCTCATAATTGTGGCAGCAGATTACCTCTCATGTAAACAATATCTGGCTGTTTTATGCATGTTCTAACAAGGAACTGGCATACTTTAGGACTGACTCCCTCTTTATAAAGCAGAAAACTTGTGTCAGATCAACCTAGTACCCCTAATGTTTAACTTCCAACATCCATAAAATATATCTAATTTTTTTTAAAATATAATTGGCCCTTTATTTAGCCTTGGTTTTATCAATTAAGAGGCAGAATAAGTTACTGTAAACTGAAATCTGGAACAAGGAAAAGCCTTACTATATTCAAAAATTCTAAAAAAAAAAATACTGAAAAATAAGAAAAGTATCATGTAAACCAAGAAAAGAGCAGAAATCTTAAGGGTTTTTCTACATTCATAATGCAGTTTTAAAGTCCCTCTTAGTACAATTAGCAGTTTCTACAGTGATGTAGTTATATTAACGGTTAACTTATTGCTGAGTACAGCTTTACTTATCTTGATGGCATTCTTTTTACATGACTTAATGGACCTTCAAGGAAGAAAAATCTCCCACAGAACAAAGATTTACTGCAGAACTTATTTTGACAAAAAAGCACTTGGAGACTACCTTAGCAGCTTTTCATGCTTGAATGAAGCCAACGGGAATAATTATATCTTGGATGCTGAGTTATTAAAGTCTAAATTCTGTAAGCTTTTATTGATTGCCATAGGAGATTCTTTAATGAGGCCTCATAAAAGACTCCAATCAGTTGGGGTTTTTTTGTTTTGTTTTGTTTTTTTTACCTTAATGTCTCTTATTAAGCCGTCTCATTGCTGCTCCTGCCAGGGTTGCTTGTCATGGTGGACACCCGTCTGTGTGTTTGTTCCTCCCGTACGTCTGTTTGCCATGTCAGACTGTGCTGTTGTGGTTGCTGAGACAGATGCACTGATGCCTTTGATTCAATGCTTTATCTCCACTATAGCTCCAGTGTAGGTTGGAGGGGCTTAAAGATGATCGCAGGAGGACCTTCAGCTCTCGAGTAACTATCCCGCCCCCTCCCCTTCTCTTTCCTCCCTTGCCCTTCCCTCACCCTCCTCACAGGAGCGTGCAAGTCATTTGCCCTGCTCTTTACCTTTACCCCCAACCAAACCTACCCCCCACCCCCACCCCTTTTCCCTGGCTTGCCTAGCTGTTTCTCTGGCTATCATTCTACTTTCTCACTTTCTTTCTAGTCTGTTTCTTGTTTTTCGGCGTGTCCTTCGTTCACTCTTTGTCTCGTTATTCCTTTGCTCACTCTGTCGGGATTCTTACCCTTTCTGTCTTCTGTAGTTTATCTTTTTCTCTTTCTCTCTCTTGGCTATCTCTGGTTCTGTCTCTCCGGTTAACGTGATCTGCTTTAGTAGTTTTGTCTGATGTGCTGGATGTCTGTAAAGTAGTTGCCATTGAGACCGCTTTATTGGTCTTTACTGTCTTTGTTTAGTTTTTTTTTTTTTCTCTCCTTCTCTGCTGTGTCTCAGGCTCTGTACGTTATTGAAGTCTGTCTTTTTTTCTCTTTTTTTCTGGGCTGTGGGATCACATCATGCTGATCGCCATCGTTCCACATCTTTCTTGCCTATCAACTCAGCTTTCTTGTCTTTTTCACTCTCCATCCCTCTAAATCACCTATTCTCATCCTCCTCACCTTGGCTGTTTGGTTCCCACTGGTGTTGCAGTTTTAGCCTAGGCCACAAGCGAAGGGAGGAGACAGCAAGGGGTGGGTAGGTGATTAGAGAGAGACCCTCACCTTTACCATGGGTGTTTCGGTTCTCCTTACATCACACGCCACCAACACCCAGCTTGCTTTTTAAACGACTAAAAGTCGCATTGAGATGGAAGGGAGGACTAGAGACATCTTAGAGTGAGTGAAGGGCACGTTAGGGCAAAAATGATAATGACTTCAACCAGCCAGGTTGAGCCAACTAGACAGAATTTTTGAGTTTGCCGCTATAAGTAAAACAAGATTTATTCTTTAACTTTAACCTGTATTTATTCATATATATAAAAAATTTACAAAAAAAAAATATTAATGCTGTAGCTTAATTAAGACTACCTAACCATTGCTCTTCCTTTATAGCTTTTTCCCTTATGGCTGAGCTTCCCAAAAGCATAAGAAAGCATTCTGCATGTAGAGATTTGTTGCACTGTATTAACAACAAACATAATAAAAATCAAGTTGCTTAATGTTTTCTTAATTGTGTTCAATAATCTTATCATAAACTGCATTTCATTTTTTACTGCTGTTCTGCAGGAATTTACCAATATCAAAAATGTTGCTTACATCTACCAAGTATCATATTTTAACAGTAATGCTGCAGGAATTGCACCACAAATTGTTGTAATCGCACATTATTTTAAAAGCAGGGAGCATTGATAAGGTTTAAAGTTTATCAGTAAATTGTTTTTATAATAATATTTTAGAATCTTTACCAGTGCACCATTATAATAAATGCATTGCATTAACTTACCAGTGCAGTACTGATTGGTTTATTATAATCTCTTGACCTATAAAGAGAAAGACCTAAAGCTCTACTACCACTGTAGGTTCCCTTTCACGCCTTTTTATTTCATGCAATCAGGGTGCGGTTAAATTGTCACAGGACATTACATTATTACAACACATGTGATAAAGTAAATCACTCATCAGGGCTTATTTTCAACTGTCTTCCAATCAAAATTATTCAAACCGCTTCTAACTAGCACATGATCCCCTGTGCATTCAGCAGACATGAGTTATTTTTTTACTTTTTTACCTGATGCATCCAGAATCTGTATTTCATAGAATGCATGTTTTTTTCGCCTTACTGTTTGACACTAAATCATATTCATGGTCAGCAGATTACCATAAATTAACGCTGTGAAAAATTGCAGGAAAAAGCCTGGTAGCATCGTGTTGTCGGGGTTTTTTGTTAGAAGGGGACCTGCACTGTAATCTATTTGTGCATTTCACAAATAGATTGTATCATGAGAACAGAATATTATCTGTCAAAGTGGATATTTCTGACTTTGATGGACGCTAAAGATTTGTGTTCTTCCTCATATTCTGGGATTGGGCAAACACAAAGACCCTTCCTGATCCTAACTGTGCTAAACCAGAAACAATGCAGTCTGGTATGTTATAGATTCTAAAAAATAAAAAAAAAAGCTTACGTGTCCTTTTCTATTTAGCTATAATGATCATCTGTTAAATTATAAAAAAAACTTTTTCAGCTATTAAATGTAACATAACAAAAATGGAACTTAGATTGGCATCCATAAATGATGTAAAATCATCTTATTTAGCTACTATCTGTCACCTTTCCACTAGTTGTCACTAAATCCTTCACACTGATCACACCAGTCATACTAAAGAGCATTTATCTCACAAACAAATGATTATGCCTTTTAAGCAGTATTTAAAAAGTGCTTTGTGAGCTAGCAGATGGACAACTAATTCAGCTAAAGGAAATTAAATGATTGTGCATTTATCAACAAAACACCAAGTAGCCAATTAACAGAGGAAATACATTAGAATAATGTCGTTAAATTTGTATCATATTTGCTACAGAAACAACATTTCAGTTTTTGAACGTCTCCCATTTTTGGGAATCTCAGCTAATTTTGAATAAACTCTGCTCTCCTCCTGCTTCACCGTAGAGTTATGAGAAGCTCTCACTCAGCATCCAAGATTCCCAGAAGAATCTTTCCATCCAGCGCCGCATCTGAACAGCCGATCGATACTCAGCACTGCATTTTCACTGCATCTAATGTCAAACTCAGTCAAGCACAGTTCCAACATCTTTTATTGTTTGATTTTGTTTTTTTGTGATGTTATTATTGTCACACTCTGTTTTGTTACATTTGTCCGTACAGTCTTTTGCTCACTTTAATGATAGTATGACAGCACATTTATCGCTGTGCTATAATTTAAATGTTAAAAACGTAAAGCAGGAGATGCAGACATCTCCTCTAAGAGGAACAAAAAAAAACCACATTGTTGTGTGACAAAGCTTTTGCTAGTGCTTCTGAATGTTGTATGACCAGCTTGTCATCTCGACCGTTTTAAAAGAGCAGCTTGTTGTTTTATTTCTCTGAATGACTTTATTACAAAAAATGCCATTCTTTGTTTTCCTTCTTTCCTCTCCTTTTTCCCTTTGTCCGTATCCATCTACAGGTGCAGTCACGATGCAGCAGTAAAGAAAATATCCTAAGATCAAGTGAGTTTTAACTCATGTCTTCTGCTGTCTGTACTCCCAAGAACATATTTTTTCTTGCATGTGGCTGCTGTCTTATTCTATTGCATCTGTGTGCCAGCAGTTGTTAAGCTTCATGTTAAGCTTTAAGAATATGCAGCAGAGGCATAAGAGTATGTTTAAAGAGACAAAAATTAGGTCATGGGAAATCAAAGTGTGGTGGCTATTCTTTGCCGGGAGGCAGAGAAGCAGAGGGGGTGAGAGAGGTAGGAAGAGATAAAGACACGAGGAAAAAAAGCAGATTACCCATTAGCTACACATAGCGTTGCTCCTTTTTACCTTTGGAATTATTAGAAAGATATTATTAGATCATAGCAGCTGTTATCGAGCACCTGAATCATCCAGCTGTGCTCTAAAGCTTGTGAAAATAAACATGTCAGTATGTCTTGCCAATCTCTGCTCATGCAAATTGTGTTCTTGCTTGGATACAGAAAATAAATCTTAATCCAATCTTCCTATGTTATGGTGAAAACTGTTATTTCTTTTTACAAAATTGTGTATTTTAGTTAAAAAATATATATCTTTTGAAACCTGAGCAAACTGCTAAAGCTGCAAGTTGATAACAGAAAACAGTTGTTTTTGACAGAGAGAAATACAGTCATTTTAAGGGAACGTTTGCCTCTGAGAGATCTTGAGCGGTCATGCCTTTGGCATTTATTCCTCTTCTCCTTGGAAAGAATCCCAACAGAGTTCTGTCAATTTCTGAATGCCGTTCCAGGTCTTTAAATAAAGACTAAAAATGCTTAAAAGGATAAGCCTTTGAAGGAACACCTTTAGTCATGTCAATGCGTTCTATTCAATTGTTACTTTTCTGTCCAAATTCAGTTTAAATTTAATGTTTTTAATTTCTAATTTACCACAGCAATATTATTTTCAAACTAGTATTTTTATGTTATATTGTTTAAATATTTGATAATCATCTGGTATAACTGCCTTTACTATTTAACAATAATGCTAAAAGTAGAAAATGTCTATATGCATCTGATGATGATGATGATTATAATCTTCACGTCTGGAGCAATGACATTAAAAATAAAGCATGCAAGAAAGAACAGTCAGCTCAAGACAGCCATGAACAGAGGCAAAAGAATCCAGAACTTGAGGATCAATGCTACCACAGTGGCTAATCATTACTTAAACAGTAACCACCCACTACAGTTGAAAGTGAGATCATAAACTAAATAGTTATATTATTATTCGCCAAATGTGGATGAGGAGGAGGAGCCTTATGGCATAAATTTGAGATCTCACAAACCGATAACTAACCCTGTGGTTTAAAAGCTCTTGGTGGTGAGTCTGATTTTGGAGACTGGTTGATTTTTCCTGCAGAGGAGATTGGCGGCTTATTTTAAAACATTTCATTTCAATGAATAAAATTCGGGTAGAAAATGTCATAAAACACTGTTTTCTATACTAAACTATTCTATACTTTACCACCAGAATATATAAGTAGTGAAATCAGTGAGTTGTGTAATCAGTCTATTAAAAATAGTAGAGGTGAGTGGAAGTTTTACATGGAAAGTTTACCTATGCTTCAACGAGCTGTTTGCTCTAAGATATGCTTTACTATTAATATTATACTGTATGGATGATTTAGCTGTATAGGTGCATAGCTACTGAAGTCCTTTAAGTTTATAAAAATCAAAGTAATTTTCAAGTTACTTTTTTCTATCAAATGAGGAATTAGGTTGATCTATTGTTAATGAATTCTGGTTTTCTCATATTTGTCTTTAATGGCAGCAGCAATATTACCTAAACATTGTTAAGGCTCTCCACAAAAAAACAACCGTTTGCTCAGCTAACCACCTTAATTAGATCGGCTGAATTTCTCAAAGATATAATTTGCTGCTTTTAATGGGGGTGTGGTACAAACACATGGGGAAGAATCTCATATCTCAATTCTGCCTACTTTTTATGTCATCATTGTCTATAAACTTTATCTCCATAGGTCACAGTGCGGTGGATATCACAAAGGTGGCCCGCAGGCACCGCATGTCTCCTTTCCCCCTAACCTCCATGGATAAGGCCTTCATCACTGTGCTTGAGATGACCGCTGTCCTGGGTACTGAAATCATCAACTACAGAGGTGAGGAGGCAAAAGGTTCCTAAACCAGATCAAATGTTTTGCTGTCCCCTTTGTAATATCTTATTTTCCTTCTGTATTGAACTGATATCAGCTCTTTAGGGATGCTAGGATATCATGTCTCTACATGCAGAAGTAATTTCAATCTCCATCACACACATTTTCTTTGCTGCAAGGGCCTGCAGGTAACAAAGAAACCTTACCTAAAAATAGCAGCAAACAGCACTGTCAGGTCCATGAACTTCAAGGGAACAAAGTCGTAGGGCTGAAATAAATTAATGGGATTAATCTAACATATCATTGAAATAATCGTCAACTAATTTAGTAATTGATTAATCGTTTACTGGAATATAGAGACTATAAAATATACATTTAGCTGACAGAGTAACCC